ATATCTAAATTTATATATTCCAAAATATCCGGCCCTTGATCTAATGCGAATTTTTGAGTCTGTGTATCTCCGCTTACAGGATTGTTAGTGGCTCTGCACCAAAACATCGACTCTACATCAATATGAGTAAGCCAAGGACTTATTCTCACAAGTCTACCTTCAGCTCCAAGGTGACGCCAAATTACGAATTCTTTCCAATCACCCCTTCCAAAGAAATGATAGGCACTCCAACTAAAACTATTTATAAATTGTGTTCACCCTATTTCGTGTAAGATGATGAAGGACTTTTGGTTGATTTTCTCACAATGATATGAGTAGAGCTGATGCTTTCCATTAAACTTTGTATAGCCTTGCTTTCCCAAAAGGTGTTATCATTCAAGGTGGACTGCAGTTTCGACCTCACATAGGTCTTATCAACACCCAAAGCGGGAGTCGAACGCTGCACTGTCATGATTCGACTCCTGCTTGGGGTGTTGATAAGACCTATGCGAGGTCGAAGCTGCAGTCGACCCTGGATGAGAACAGGTTACACTACTCTGCCACGAGCGCAGAGTAGTGGCAGATGAGAATTTCAAGGCAAGCCAGGCCTCTTATAATTCACAGTTATGCTGGGATTGTCGTCGAGGAAAACTTTTATTTTGCCATTATATTCTACTATTTTATTTATCTTCATTGGAAGTAGGTTAAGCTACCATCATTAGATCATGTCATTTCTAGGAAATTCAACTGTCAGTCTTTTATTTCCTAATGCGAAATAGAGTGACTAAAAAGCTTTTTCAAGATTTCATGATGGTCTTAGATCTCACTTTCTATGAATATTTTATTTTGTTTTTATATGGGAGATCATTATTTTATTTTTATTATTTATTAGGCCAAATAATGATATTTGTAAGGACTAGTGGTCTGAATATATCATGGAAGCTTATCTACTATATCTCTTTATTCTATCTTATATAACTCTTTTCTATTTAATCATTAATCAATTTTATTAACGGATATACCTTCAATCAGATCGGAGCAGTGGCAGCTAGTCTTGGTCTACGCACACCGACAAGATGTTGCATCTTTAACTTGTTAGTTACCACTCCCGGCGGACCCGAAGCGACAGCTATCTCTCTGCTCAACTTCTGCTACAAGACACAAGCTGTCGCATCTGGTGACCTAGGTCCTATTCCGAGTGGTATTGGTAATGGTTCACGAAAGGCTTGTTGTGAATGGCGTGAACGAGAGGCCGTCCAGGTAGTGCTCCACGTACTTCTGGCTGAACGTCCCTTCAACCGATTCTACGCTCGCGTATTGGGTGGCTTACTAAATCATCATCGTCGTTTTCAGGTGCTAATTGATAGCCCAAGGCAGCCATTATTTCACTTACGTTCTATTATAGATTTATAAGTCATATTTATTGTATATATATAATATAATTTTTATTTCTTTATTATTTATAAGTTATAATTGTAAAACTGTTTATGATTT